TACCAAAGCTTTGTTGGACAAAGGGATTTAAATTCACAATAAGGCAGGGGGCACTAGGGAAGAATAGCTTTATCTTAGATTAGGTAGGGGGGGGGGGGGGGTGGGGAGGGGATGTGGGGGGGGAGGTGGTAGGGAGTGCTTGGGGTGGAGGAGGTGGTAGGGAGTGCTTGGGGGGCATGAGGAAGTACCAAAGCTTTGTTGGACAAAGGGATTTAAATTTTGTTTAATGATTCCTTTCCCACTGTTCCCTAAAACCACCTCTCAAATACACCATTTACAGTTATCAGAATGGCAGTATTTATAGTATTCTATAAAATATAGAATACTATATTTTATGTAGTAAAATATCCAAGTAGTAGTGAAATAAGCAAGAAAGTTTATCTCATTTTATAAATAACTTTGAATAGAATTGCATGATTATAGGGGACAACAAAAGTACATTAGTGGGAACATAGACTGTTAGAAACATATTCGTTTGCTTGTTTTTCTTTAGGATATCACTACATTAACTGGTGTTCCAGAAGAGCATATCAAAACTAGAAAAGTCAGGATCTTTGTTCCTGCTCGAAATAACATGCAATCTGGAGTAAACAACACAAAGAAATGGAGGATGGAGTTTGATACCAGGGAACGATGGGAAAATCCTTTGATGGGTTGGGCATCAACGTGAGTATTTTGTTTTAACATAAATATTGTTTTCAGTTTTCTGTTTCTGTGAAGATTTTTCTTTAAAATGTTGATTTTCAAATTCTTAATGTACAGTCTACACAGATATGTATTTCTCTTTATATATTTTATATAAATATCAAATAAATATGGTTCAACACATTACACCAGAAATATTATTCTAAATACTATTTATTAGATAAAATGATTGACATTATAAGGATTATTAGCCTGGTATTCAAGCTAGGTATATTAGTCTAAGATACTATGTGATTGCTAATTTATTGACACTTTTTAACTTGCTTTTAAATTTAAAGTAAAACTCCTTTACATATCTTGTTTGTAAGGAGTTGGGAATTGAGCTTAGAAATTAGCTAATTTGAGAAAAACGTGTAAATTCTTGAGAAAAATAAATTACTTTTTCAGTGCATTGGAATAAACTCTTCAGGGACATCTTTTCAGTATACCTGGGAGAATTTTTGTTAATCTTCCCTGTTGCAATTGAAATAGAATTATATGTTATTAAGCAAATGATATACAGGTATAGTTTGTAGGATTTTTGGGGGGGGGGTAGCAGTTCTGATTTTATTGCAGTTACCATGTATATATACTTGGGCAATAGCGAGGCAGATTACAGGCAGCCACCAATACAATTTTTTGCCAACTGTCCTTGCAGCAACAAATTGAGGAATGGGCGGTGGAGCAAGCGCAGGGACTGCAACACTGTGGTCTCATGCCCAGGGCTATGCCTATGGGTAAGCTGTTTGCTGCTCACACCCTAGCATGAGGGGCGTCTGCCACTTAGCTGCCCTTAATGTAGGCATGTATGCAGTACTCCATGCATTTGTCCCCAGAGAATTAAACATATTATCCTAAGTTCTATAGTTATAAAATGGCAGAGTGAAAAAGGAAAAAGAAAAAGGAATGGAAAAAGGCAAAGGGAAAGGAGGGAGAAAAGGACATAGAGCTGACTGACATGGTAACTGAGTCACAAGAGACTTATAAAAAGCTGGTGATGTCAGGATAGGAAACTCAACAGGCAAAAATCAATAGCTTTCCTATATACCAATACCGAATTTGTTGAAAAAGAAATTAGGAAAGCAGTTTTATTCACAGTAGCTTCAAAATCAATCAATCAATCAGTCCTACCAAGGCAGTGAAAGACCTCATGAAAATTATAAAACACTGAAGAAAAAAATTAAAGACACTAGAAGATGAAAAGACCTCCCACTATTCATGGATAGGCAGAATTACTATTATCGAAAAGGCTACATTACAAAAGCAATCGACAGATTCAATGAAATCTCCATCAAATACCAGTAACATTCTTCACAGAATAAGAAAAAACAATCTTAAAATCATCTGGAAGAATAAAAGACCCAGAATAGCCAAAGTAGTTCTAAGCCAAAAAAGCAAAACAGGAGGCATCACAATATCCGCCTTCAAATTGTACTACAGAGCGATAGTAACAAAAACTGCATGGTACTGGCATAAAAACATTCACACAGGGCTGGGGTTGTGGCTCAGTGGTACAGTGATTGCTTTGCACATGTGACACACTGGGTTCAAGCCTCAGCACCATATAAAAATTAAATAAAATAAAGGTATTGTGTCCATCTACAACTAAAAAAAAAAAAAATTTAAAAAACCATACACACAAACCAATGGAACAGAATGGAAGACACAGATACAAACCAACACAGTCATCTGATCATTGACAAAAGCTAGTTTGTAGATATTTGTATAGCAAATACAAATTGTTTTGTGTAATATATGAAGTCTTTTTGTAAATCACATTCTTCTAAAGATTAAAGAAATCTTTAAGGAAAAACTTTGTTCATACCCAATGATTGAAATGTTGTGCTCATTCATTTTGAATTATGTGATTTTAATGTGTTATCTGAGACTCGCTGTAATACATTTCCAACAATATTCAGTAATAAATCATTGTTTGAATATTTGTACCTTGTGTGTACTCTAAATTGATATACTCTTATTTGAATACTTATTCATGTAAGAATATGAGGTTGAGAGTTGTAGAATAGAAAAAGTAATACTTTTTCTTCATATCCACCACAAGTTTCAAGGCTGAGGCAATTTATAAAAAGATAAATTAATAAGAATAGCAAACAGATTCATTTATAGTAATTTTTAAGTGACATAGCCCTATAATGAACACCCAAAGAAACAGGGAAACTTATTTTTATACTAAAGTTGGCAAAAAGTTGTATATAATCATGATTGGACAAAGCTGGTATGATCTAATGGTAATAAGCTGGGGGAACTTTGTTCTTGCCTGTTTATTTTCTTTTCTGTGCCCCTGTGTCTTCAGAGATCCCTTTCCTCTAGTTATAGAGTAGACACTTTAGAATGATGGTCTCAGGTTATTTTGGAAAGAGGTCAGAGAATTGTTACAACTTGCTTCAAGGGAGAAGGATAAGCAAAGACCCTAGATAACTTCCTGATTCTGCTGTTTTCTCATCTGCCAAGATGCCATATTTTGGGGTAGCATGTCCTGAACCCTTTCTATAGGTTAAGTTTTACTTTGCTCTGCTTGCAAAATGTTTTACAATCATTATCATAGTATTGATTCTAGAAATAGCACAACTAACTTTTGAAATACTTATTATTTAATGCCTTCCTGCTTTTGGAACAAAATTAAACCTACTGTGCCTGAATAGGGAAATACTGCTTTTATTGCATATGAATTGAAAATGAGCTATATACTCTATGTTTGGGAAATAAAAGAAATAAAGTTCTTTTCAAAATGTAGTTTTTCCAAAGTAAAGTATTTTTGAAATGATAGAACTCTCTATAAAGTTGGTTTGTCTGAAGCATTGTTTTGAATCTTAAATAACAACAACAGAAAATCTTTACTACTTCTCTTGGTTCTGATATTTAAACCACTAACATGAAAAAAAATTATGTCTAAATATTTGATTATTTTATTTTATTAAAACAGGGGCTCTTTGCTAATATTAGAATCAAAGTTATATTTTTTCATTCTTAGCATTTTAACACAAAAAGATAGTATATAATAAGTATTGCTTGAACATACTAATTTCTGACATTTTAAGCCCTTGTATAAAATTGTTATAATTGGAAAATGAAGGCTTCTCATCATCTACTTAGTGTTCATTGTTTTAACTAAGAAATCTGTTTCCCAGATAAATCCATGGCTTATTACAGTTTTAAATTCTTAGTCTGCTTATATTTTATCATTATTTATCTAACATTGATTTATGGAGTATAGCAAAAGTATTTAAAACCTAGGTAGATATATAGGTTTGTAATATTTCCTTTTAATGAGAGAATTACTTTATTTAATGGGAAAAATAGAATGTTAATATTTTAATGTGATTTTTTGCTATTGGTCAAAGAAATAATTCCTGGATATACTAAAAGAGAAATGACCTTTCATTCTATACCCAAAATATGTTCATTTGTAAAGACAAAGTTTCATAAGATAGAGGATGTGTGCTTAACTGCATTCATTTTCTCCGTCTGGCTAGAATCTGCCACATGGATGGAGTGGCATGGAGAATTTAATAGACACCTAAAACTGATGACATAGGAGTATTACAGAGAGTTAAGAAGTATGTCGGATAAAAACGATGACAAATATAACACTTAGAGAGATAATCTTTGTATACCTTTGGAGGTTTTTTCCATGCAGTTGCTATTAATACAAAGAAAACGATGCTTATTTCCTTGAACAGTAGAAGCAATGCTAATGGAAAAGGTAATTTAAAGTTACCTTTGTGGTAATTTTGTGACAGAAATTTGAAATCTCAAATGTTTTTCAGTGAGGGCAGAAGAAAGGCCTTATTGTGAAAGTTGTCTTAATATGATTTTTTAAAAAAATACACTAAATAAATTTTGGTTTTATTTCTGTATAGTATTTTTTATAATTGTAAAAGGCTACATTTGTTCACATGTAGGATTTTAAGATAAATGTGCTTGATCTTTGTTTTTAGGTTTTTAAATTCACATTTTAAAATACTATATTTACATTTCTTTTTCATATTTGAATTGTTCTTATGCTATTTTAATTACTTGAATCTTTAAATGTTAGAATTCAAAGGTAAAAGGTTTATCTTTATGCAAACATGAAAAATATAATAAGATTCAAAATCTTCCCTTGAGTTTGACCCAAGGTTTTTACTGTTTAAATCATCTTGATCCCATGGGGTGGCAAAGGCAGGTGTTTGGTTGATTCCTCCCCATTTAATACTATCGCTATTTATTGGTTAATAATCTTATGTTAACGTTGTTAATGTTTCTTAACAATCTTTTATCTGTTGGAATGATAATTGTTTTCATTTACTTCTATAAAGGACTTTAATTTTAGTAAAACCTAAATGTATTTGTTTTAAATATAATGAAATTAACACAGAAGGTAATGAGTCCAACAGATAATCAGTGTCTTGGACTCATTACCTTCTGTGTTAATTTCATTATATTTAAAAAGTATGACTTCCATATTTAATTTTTAAAATAATTTTCAATAGAGAATTGTGAACTGTCATTCAGCTTTTGGAAACAAGGATTTGTTCCATGTCATCATGAACATAGAAGGTCATCTAATTTAAGCAGAGGTGTATGCTAATTTAGATGTTGCTAATTCTCTCACTGCCTAACTATTCATGTAGTATACTTGATCCTTAAGCCATAATAAGTCATCAAAGTGGTGGATACTTAGTCTTGTAGATAGTCCTTTGGCTTATAAGTAGCAAACGGAAGTATTATTTGTCCCATCTTTCTGTCTTACACTACTCTACCTCAATGCAAAGGCACTTTTAAAATTTGCTTTACTCATATGGCCCTTTTTTTTTGTTATCTTTCAATAAAGGTTTCTGTTACTTTTCTTTATTGACTTTGTTGAACAAGTAAATGAATGTTTTGCACAGGAGATGTAAATAGTATGGATATATACAGTATAAACTATGAATGTTATCAATTATTCCTCTCCATACCTATTAAACTAGTCTCTTGTCCAC